GCATGCACTCTCAGTGTCATAGGAATGTTAATAACCGAGTGACATAGTGAAAGCACGATGTCGTTTATACAGGTCTGTTCAAAACACACGGCCAATTCTTTTTGTTTACATCTACATAACCTTTGAAGCCAAGGCACACGGATAAAGTGTGAGAAAACTGGAACACTAGCGCCACTGTGACGATATCTAATTATTATTCTCCTTTACTATAATTTTCTTACGAGAAATAAAATATGGTAGGAAAATAATACTTATATAAAATAAAATATAATAATCTATTAGTACCAAACATCTAGAGACCTATTCAATAAACGTGGCTAAGTTGATAGTCCTCCATATTGGATTACAATCTTCCTTTTAACGTAAGATAAATAATATTTGGTATAATACATGTAACAATGAATACACATACACTGATTCAAAACGTCAAGTAATTTCGAGTGATATAAAAATGATTTCTCGTTCGATTTCATATATTTCTGCGGAAAGTTAATATACGGAAATAGGAACATAACCTAAAAATTTCAACTCAACTTTATGTTGCAACTATAACCTCTGACGAAAATTATTTAGCATCATTTGCTAAAGACATTCCAGGGTGTTGGATAGTAGAGTAAAAATTCGTTTCGTTTCTTCGTTATTAACTCGTGTTTATGATTATTGAGAATGATTATGCGTCATACGATAAAAACGTTAAACCTCCATAAAATTCAAAATCGCGTAAAAATATTAGATGCTCGATAAAATTTCTTAATCTCGTCGATGTACACAAAGCAACAAGAATTGCGTAATAGACTCGCGATGATTTATTTTCTCTAATCCCTTGATACACGGTTCTTTGACTTAATTCGCGGCATTATCTTTGCACGTGCTGCCTTTCCTTTTACGTGCAGCCACTTGGAATCTTAGATAGTTCCCAGTGGCGAAGCAACTATTGCATTTAACTCAGGAATTTAACTTGGTATTCTATTGAGTTTGGTCCACATATTTGAGGTTAAGGAAAACAGGTACAATGGATTGCAACGTTTTTGAAAAAGAAGAAAAGCAATTGAATAATTGATATTAAGCATATTGGATGTATTTGAGAGGATGGAAAGCGTAAAATTAGGTATAGTTAGGTTATGAAGGAGGTATAGCTGTAAACCGGTTTAGAAATTCGATTTTCTTTTCTTTACATTTTCTCAAAGTGTATGCTTTCGAAAATGTCCGTGTGAAAGGATTTGTTCAAATTCGTAAAATTAGCGAAGTTATAGATGTTTAAAGTGCGACGTATAGGTATTGTACAACGGGTAAGGAAAACTTCAAACGCGTTTTTCTCGAAACCGTATTTTTTGAACTTGCTGATGGGATATCTCGCGTTTTAGTTAACCGATTGACTCGAAATTTGGAGGAGATATTTATTAGATATACCTTTATCGTATGAAGTAGTAATTTCAAAATCCGACTTTTTTTTCTATTTTTGTTTACTATCCAAAGGATGAAAAACGCGAGAAAATCGATATTTAAATTTCAAAATGCTATCATTTCTTTAATTTTCGAAATTTCGCTATTTTGGTAGTTTATATTATACTCATGTTCATACTAATTAAGATGCTTTTTAGTTTTTTCGTTTCCAATAACCAGATGGTTCGGAATCATGACAACCATTCGAGCCCCTTTTTTAAAAACACGATTTATCTAAGGCTACAGAATTTCCACAATTTTTATTAATTCCGTAAAAAAAAAATGTTATAAATATTCTCTAAGTATTAATAAACCTTAGTGCGAAAACTGCATCCCAATATATATCATGGTTTCTTCAGAAAAAATTCCGAAAGTCGATTTTTATAGGCCGAATTAAAACTATATTTAATTCTTAATTACTGAATTATATTATAAAAATCGGTATAAAAATTCTGTAATTTTTTTCAGTTTTGAATTTATATTTCGAGAAATACGAATATACCAGATGTTGCATAAACCCAAGAATTGAAGTGTCATCGAGTTATCATGGAATAAAAAAATTTGTCTAAAATCAAAATTGTATTGAATCACGAATTTTTAAGTAATCACGATTATTTTAATAAAATGACAGTGATTGAGATTTGGAATACGTTTCTAATTTAAAATTCTGTTTAAATAAAAAGGTCTAAATTTTTATATTGACATTCTTCCTTTAATATTATTTTTTTAAATATTCTGAATTCCAGCACCTTTTGTATCCGCAACTACTGATTTTATTTAATTATGGAAGAATAATTATCGGTGATAATAAGAGTATAACGAAAATGGCATAGGCTCGCAAATTTTATATTGTTCATTGGTTATCACCATTCCAGTTATCAATATTATAACCTCGATTGCAAATCTGCTTATTTTTGAAATTGGATCGAAATTAATTGTCATTATCTTCACACATTCGAAGTTTTCCAACGACGAAATCAGATTTCAGATAACCAAGGTACTTGAAAATTTCCAATAGAGAATTTAATTCATCCGGTTTTCGAAGTTGCTCTTTCGAAACTAATTAGAGCAGCAAGATCGCTATTAAAACAGTAAAAGGAAGGAAATTAGTGCAATTTGGCTTGTGAACTCGATTGCATTACCTGAGCAAACCGGTCTGCGAGGAACGGTCTTTAACATTACGTAAAAGTGGGGGACATGAACCTTCGCTTATGTAATCACAACAGTTCAAAGCTACAGTCCCTTTTACGCTGAATGCAACTATGTCAATGACAAAGAACGTACAAAGGAGATTGAAAAATAAATGATGAACCTCTTGCATCACCATCATCATTCAAACCATATACGGATCTTATTTTTCTAAAAATAATGACAAATTTCAAAACCATTCTTCACTAGAATATCTCTAAAATTGAAATAAAATATTACCAAACTCCAATGAAAATTTGCAAATTAAAGAAATGTAGAAAATAGGATAAGCTATATACATTCATTAGAAGAGAATTTTCTATTATAATTCATGGACAATTATTATTTTAGATATTTACTAAAATATCTCTAAAATTGAAATAAAATATTACCAAACTCCAATAAAAATTTGCAAATTAAGGAAATCTAGAAAGTAAATTTTCTAAGCTATAATATATATTATAATTCATTGACAATTATTATTTTAGATATTTTATCAAAATTTTATTTCTCAATTTCATTGACTATTTCAGTGCCTATATATCTATATATTTTTATATTTTATTTTATTTAAAATTTAATGTTAAAATATATATTATATTTTATATCTTTACGTTTACCCATATTTTAGTACCACATTTGCAAGTCAAATAATTTATCGTGTATTTGAATATTCAATTCTTGACAGTACAAACAGTGAAAGTGGGGCCAACAAAATGTCCTCTCTACCGTGAAATACGAACGAAAATTTATTTTTCGAAAACGATCTGCTACAGAATTAATATATACATTTCTTAAGTCGCGAAATCATTTCTGCATATGCAAAATTAGTGCATATGCGAAATTAGTGTCAGAAATGCATCTGCACATCGATGACCTGTTGCTGTAGAAACAATTTCACTTTTCGGCTACCATTTCGGGGTCATTGTCACCTCGTTAAACGAGTTACAAGCTTTCTCGTTAGCAGCAGAACAACGGATGTTCACAAAATTTCCAGACTTCGTGACACAAGGTCACTTCACGCTAACAGTAAAAGACAATGAGTTTCACGTCATGAGATGTGTGTGAACCGATTACGAGTTTCCATCATTCGCGATGTATTAACGCGCTTAAAAGAGTTAAAACGAGTCATGAGATGTGTGTGAACCGATTACGAGTTTCCATCATTCGCGATGTATTAACGCGCTTAAAAATGCATCGAAGAATTTATAGGTTAGGATGTTTCGAGATACGAGTTCGAAATCTCGCGTTCGAAATCTCGCTGGCTGAAGGAACGCCAGAGGCTGAAACTTAATTGGGCGATTGAATAACCATGGCGCGGCCATTATTAACCCAGTTCCATCGGGAAAAAACCATGCCCAATGGGATTGGGTCTGTGGTTTGTTGTCGATCAACGATCGCTTAGCCCAAGACAATAGTAGATCGATCTAATTGCATGTAGCTCACAGGGACGAATTCTCTTATGGCTGAAGAAAATTTGCGAATTTCTATTTCTGTTTGTGCAAAATTTTTGGCTCGTCATAATATTAGTCGAAGATAAAGAGGTAACTGAAATTAGGATTAACTCAATGAGGTCTCTGATGGTTGAAGAGAATTCGCGAATTGCTATTGTTGCTTGTGCAAAATTTTTAGCTCGTCACAATATTAGTCAAAGATAAAGAAGCAGTTGAAATTGGGATTAATTCAACGAGGTTTCTTATGGCTGAAGGGAATTCGCGAATTTCTTCCTTCATTTATGCGAATATTTTAGCATACAACGATATTAGTTGAAAATTTCGATACAGTTGAAATCAGGATTAATAATTAAATGAATTCTCTTGTGGCTGAAAAGAATTCGTGAATTTCTTTATTTATGCGAATTTTTGGCTCACTACGATATTAGTAAAAAATATCGATACAGTTGAAATCAAGATTAATTATCCAATGAACTCTGTTATAGCTGAAGAGAAATCGCGAATTTCTTCCTCTATTTGTGCAAATTTGTTTTGGAACTTATCAAATACACAGACCCCTAAGATCCGATAAGAATCTGCGCGGAACAGAAAAATATTTCCGAATTGCTTTTATCTAATCAGGCAGACCCAGTTCGATCAATCTCTGTTAGGTATGTTACCACTGGTATGCCCCAAACATTATATCGTGCCGCTGTTTCCAAGACCTATAAACAAACGATGTTAATAGCAGCCGCGACGTGGGCGTTAAGTCACTCGGAAGCCACGCTAGATGGGGCCATTTTATACTTTCAATCGCCGCCATCTTCGTTGCCTGCTTCGCGCACACCGAGATGCATTTCGACTTCATCATTTTCCAACGTTTGAAACACTTTCTAATACCTGTTCACTGACCATTAGCTTTCCGATTTGCTTCAGGAGCGAGGAGAAAACGTCACCGGCTGACCTGAATGGCACAACCGAAAGTTTCCCAACGTCGAAGCTGCGCCAGGCGTTTCCGCAGTTCTGCGCCGTCAGTGCGAAGAACCTTCTGATGATCACGTTTGGCTCCACGATGGGATTCTCCACGATCCTGATCCCCGAGCTCCAGAAGACGAATCCCGAGATCCAAGTCACCACGGAGGAATTGACGTGGATCAGTGAGCTCATGATCCTTATCCTGCTTCTTCGCAGACCAAGCTAGAAGGATTATAGCCTGACCCTTCGCTAACTTTCCAATAGACTTCTTCAGGTGTCTAATGATACGCTGGTTTTCATCGTGTCATTATGTCATTGTTGAGCTTGAAATTATTCGCAGACCAAGCTAGAGGGATTATAGCCTGACCCTTCGCTAACTTTCCAGTAGACTCCTTCAGGTGTCTAATGATACGCTGGTTTTCATCGTGTCATTATGTCATTGTTGAGCTTGAAATTTTCGTGTCTGAAACCTGTCATGTATTTTGGATCGTATTGCGAGAGATCGACTAAAATAATATCACGATACTTAACAGAAGAAAAATAAGCTTTACTAATAGGAGAAGATTAACGTAATACAATAGCAACTATGCAATTGTCTAACAACTTTCTTGCAAATGGCTTCTAACAAGAAGACTGCAAGGCCTTTGGGTCACAGATATAGCCCAAATTTTGCAGGATGGTAGGTTTAGTTCCCCTGATGGTCAAGGTATATGACTTTTATTGGGATTATGGGTTCTAAGAGTAAAATAACTACGATATATATGATATTCCTATGATATATTCCTTGAACTAAATAAAATTATAAATTCTTTGCATACGCCATATGTTTTTTCTTCATTTCTATATCATTTTGAAATATTTCTATCTTTGTACAAAAATACCTTCCTTGTGAAATAAAATTTATTTTAAAACTTTTATTTCACAAGGAAGGTATTTTTGTATAAAGATAGAAATATTTCAAAATGATAAAGAAACGAACAAAAAAGAAAAAAATTGCGTATACAAAGAATTTATAATTTTATTTAGTTCAAGGAAATTATACATTGGAAATAATTTGAGAAATTATATTTAATAGTTTTACATGATATAATAGTATTTAACCTTACACACTGTCTTCTTTCATACTCAAGTTTTCTTCCTCAATCACTCAATCAGTCATTTCAAGGCCAGGTATTTCAAAGGCTCAGGATGCAGTCGTAAACTTTCGTTCGTTTCTCGCACTGAACTCTGTCATGAATATCCCTTGCACGCGATCATTTTCGTCCTATGTCTCAAACATTATCAAGGTGTTGTCAAACATTCTTGAAAGACCACACTCCTTCCAATTATACATAATCGGCCTTCGAAAGATCCAGAGCCGTTCGATGGCCAGTCACAAATCGCGCAGGGATACGCGTCACGGATCACGGTTCTAGAAAGATCAGAACCATCGAGAGCGTTCCGCAACACGTGCCCCTGGGCAAAGACAAAAGACGTATGAGCGCTCAGATATAGAAAGTGAGTTCCTGATCGCCAGGGTAATCAATCCTCCTGAAGTCTACTCGATCAGGAATAGAGTTTCCATGTAACCTTGCTATGGAAACCGTGCTGTGTATCAGATGTAACTCACATACCACTGAAAAGGATAAAACGATGAGCTCTGAACCTGCTATTGCACTGTCAATGCCTAACCTTCTAAAGCATTTGCAGACTTGCATAGCACAGGCTGCATGGGTTTATTCGGGTCCATATACCTAACCTAACCTAACCTATCCACAAAGCAATTCGATTAGGCAAGCATGTCAAAAGTATACCCGGATATCAATGTATCCTGGAAAACTGGTGAAGTGTTGGGGTATAGTTATTATTAGGCTTACGTGTCTCGAATTATGATAACCACTGTGCAGTAATGAGTTGGCTACCGGAAGGAATGCTGGTCAGACTAGTTGTGTTATGATCTCTCTTCACTGCCTCTGAATTGATCATAGAGATAGGCTATACGTGTTTTTATTATTGGCGTAGACGACAATGTCGAGGAATCGGATCGTATATCACTGCATGACAGAGCAAGTGTACAGAGTTGTAGAACGAGTGGGATAGACCAACAGCCAGCGATGCGGAACTCGAAACCATCAGTGTAGGCGTAAATTCAGGGTATTAACCACTAACGTAATACGAAAACCGTGACGACGTGACTTGTTCTAGAATGTCAAACACGATGTCAAGAACCTAAAAGCTTGCACTTAGGGAACATCAAAGTGCTATCGCGTTACTAGTCAACATTGTTCCAGTAGTCAACACTGCATCTTGGTACAATGTGTAAATCTGGAGATCCCTCATGAGACACCTATTCTGTACGAATCTAGGTAGCCTGAACCTGATTCTGGTCCCAATCGGTTGCTTCACGAGTGGACCGGTGTCACAGTTCCTAGGACGCAAGAGGTCCATGATGTTGACTACCATTCCGTTCATAGCAGCCTGGATTATTTTCCATTATGCTACCACAACCGGGATGCTGTTCGTAGCGTTGGCTATGACAGGTCTAACTGGAGGCCTGCTGGAGGCACCTGTGATGACCTACGTGGCGGAAGTGACGCAGCCACATCTACGAGGAATGCTGTCCGCCACTTCGAGCATGTCTATTATCCTAGGGACCTTCACGCAAATGCTCGGTGGCAAGCTGGCCAACTGGAGGACAGTGACCCTAATCAACATGGCCTATCCTCTTATCTGCTTCGTTGCTCTATGCGTGGTACCTGAGAGTCCCTATTGGCTAGCCGGTACATCTTTTATATTACTATTCTTTGACCATTAGACGTTATGCCACGAATGGTATCATTTTCTAATTTCAAATAAGAGTGTTATAGTAACAATAGGGATATATAGTGTTCCAAAATTCACGCAGGAATTAAGTTTGACAGAAATTCCAGGTTTTTAATTAAAAGTTGTGCATTGTTCTTTCATGTAACTCCTTTTAATAACCCTGAACTGTCAACTGTCATGCTGTCTCTTTTTATTCGTTGGCAACACTTCCGCACAAATGGCGCGAAATTCAATTCAGATTTTTCTTACTTTGCTTTTCCATTGAAATATGAAACTCATTTCGAGTCTCTCAAGTTGGACTGGCAAGATTTGACACTGGTTGCTGTCCAACTTCTTGTCAACTGCAAATCCACGTAGAATTTTCAATGACCCAATAATTATATCACGTTGTACGTTAGTTAGAGCTCTGAAATTAGATCGAGTGGAATATATTTCTCTTTAAAATTAGGATAACATGATCTTTCAGCGAAAGGACGTCAGAGGGAAGCGGAGCAGTCTCTCTGCTGGCTCCGCGGATGGGTGGCTCCTAGCCAGGTGAGGTCGGAGTTCCAGAGCATCTGCAAGGACGTGCACAAGCCTGCGGATCACAAAGAGAAAGTCTGGAAATCCTTCAGCAAGAGGACCTTTTATGCACCCTTCCTCCTAGTCACTTTCGCTTTCTTCATCAGTGCGTTCGGTGGTACCTTCAGTCTCCAGACTTTCGCTGTGATGATCTTCGAGAGGCTGAAGGCTCCTATAGACAAATACACGGCTGCAGTGCTCCTTGGTCTAGCCGAACTGCTAGGCACGGTGACCTGCGTGTTCGCTATTCACTTCACAGGCAAACGACTATTGAATTTCATCTCCATTGGCGGTACTGGTCTCAGTTTCGGGCTAGCTGCTGTCTACGGATACCTGGAAAGCAATCACATGCTGAACACCGAGGACCTTGCCTGGTTGCCAACCACTCTCATGATTGGAGCCGCGTTCCTGTCTCACGCCGGGATCCGGTTGCTCCCTTGGATCCTAGCTGGAGAGCTCTTTCCCGTGAACGTAAGTCTCATGCCTTTGCAGAGGAGAATGTTGAAAAAGGGCCATTTTTGGCATCGCCTGGGAATGAAAAATTCTTGCAGGACTTTTAAGAGCATTTTCAAAGAAACTAGTAATTCCTTTATCTTTATGGCGACCATAGTTCTCATCCTTGTCAATATGAAGGATCTTCTGACATCATTGCTTGCAAGTCCTCGGTAAAATCTTGAAGGCTTCCTACATATGCAATTTTGCGACATTTCATAGTGTTTCTATCTAAGATAGGGCGTGCTAGGTAGCCTTACTGTGACGAGTCCACTAGCAGGCCCCGGGACGAAACGCATCCCTTCCTTTTCCTTTCGTTCCTTTCAGCACTACCGCAACACAGAGGATGTCTGCCTGCCGCACTAGTAACCCACTTCAGCAAACATAGGGAGGAGGGCCCCCACATCTTTTTCTTTCCTGGAGAATGCTCTTAAAGGCTCCAAAGGAACTTTTCGCTTCTAGACGATGCCAAAAATGGCTTTCTTTTATTATTCTCCTTTGCTGGTGATAGATACAGATACTTTTGTTAATACGTTGACTGCCATGGCGGTCACCAGTGACCGGTACTTGTCTCCTCAGTGGGGCCATGGTGGTCCCCAATGAGTGGGCACATATTTTGGAGGGTTGATTGTTCTGGCAATCTTTAGTGAGCATTTTAGCGAGCTTTTTGTACGTGAGCGCCCAATCAACTTTTGTTTTCCCAAGGGGAGTGGGGGGAGGGGAATACGTTTCAAGGAACCTTCTAGATGGTTCTGATCTTTCTAGAACACGCACTCCCGAGTCTTGACATGTGTATGCTCGATCGTCCTTTTGCATTGCTAGGGGCACACGTCACTGAACATTCTCGATAACTATAATCTTTTTGTAGCCATGTTTCCCCTTTTTATTACCTCTTTATTATTATTATTATTATTAATATGTATTAATCATACCCGCACGCAATTTGTGATAGGCTATCTAACGTCACGGTGTTTCGAGGTCCCTGAAATACTAATTCTTTAAATTTATATTTATTTTACTTTAACGATCTTTCGAAAATTCGAACAACTTAAATAAATAGGAAATCTTGAATACAAAGCATTAATAATGTACACCATCTTTTTCTTTTTCTTATTTTGCCATATTGTTTGATAATTCGTCATTATATCCTGAGAATAATGAAAATTGTATCGTGGCCCCCTGAGTGTACTCAGTATAAGAAATAATGGCAGTCAAAGTGTTAATGTATTGTACCAAGGAACACATAATACAAGCCACATAATCGAAGTCACCGATGTATTCTGAATATTATCGACGTATGGCGATTAGGATCGCTGACATGCATCGAATGTGTTAACCTAGGCCTCGAAGACTAATTAACACCTTTAAAGGTATCCGAATTCGATCTTCTATGGATGTCTTTGTTTCACCTAGGTACGAAGCAACGCGACAGGAATAGTCGGCTCAATGGGCTACATCTTCTCCTTCATCGTGAACAAGGTGTTCCTGTATATGGTGAACAGTATGACACTGCCTGGAACGTTCTTCTTCTACTGCCTGCTCAACCTCGCTGGCGGAGTCCTGCTCTACTTTGTTCTCCCAGAAACGGAAGGTAGATCCCTGAAGGAGATCGAAGAGCACTACGCTGGCGTGCAGAGCTTGAAGACCAGGCCGAAGAAAGAGGAAATGGCGTTCAAGGAAAAGTGGGCTGCCACGAACCCAGCTGTGATCTACGACGACGAGAGCAAGCTCTAACCTCGAGGGAACGAAAGTGAAAATTAATATTCCTGCGAACGACCCGATTTATCCTCTTGGTTATCTCACAATCACGCAGTGTATCATGTCAGAAGTTCTTTGTTCAGCATGCGAGAGTCTAGGTCTAGTTCTGCGAACTGTGAAGCTTGCTGAGGTAGAAAAAGGATTCTCCATTAGTTTCACGAATGACAGGACCGATCATGGATGCTTACTGTAACTGAAACCTCGTTTACTCGCACTTTTGACAGCCTACTATAAGATTCTTCACGAGAATGTGTTCATTGTTAACTCCTAACGAGATGTACAATTTATTGGTGATAAAATACAATTTATTTTAAGAATACTTGTGTAGAGGGTCCCCTCCCTCATGATTATTTAAGTCGGTTAGTCGCAGGTATCCTTATTGTGGCAGTGGCGCTAGCAGAGACGGTAGGAGAAGGAATTAATTGCATTTCGTCCTGGGCCTGCTAGTGGACTCCATCATGGACTCGGTAAAGGCTAACCCCCTAAAAAGCTGGCCCTATCTTAGACAGGGGAGGAGAAGACACTTACAAGGGAACTCCCTAGACGTTAGTGGACATCGCTTTTGCAACAGTAACCTGCTAGTGGACTCATCATGGACTCGGTAAAGGCTAACCCCCTAAAAAGCTGGCCCTATCTTAGACGGGGGAGGAGAAGACACTTACAAGGGAACTCCCTAGACGTTAGTGGACATCGCTTTTGCAACAGTAGTAGATATAAGTTATAGTAGATACTGTGTAAGAGTATGAAAGAGTATGCGAGGGAACTCTAGTGGAGTCGTTGGGGCCTAACGACGACATTCAAGAATTCCTAGCAGGCCCTGTCTTAGACCGGGTCGGGAATTTATATGTATATAACTGCCTTAAGTCGGGAGGTTATATGTATAGGAATTGGAGGTTTTCCGAGGACTTGCGAGAAAGTCCTCGAAGTCGGAATCCATCTAGCGGCGAGGGTGAGAATGATGGTCGTTACATAGTTCTATCTCGATACGAGTAGCTTTATATGAGCTAATTATTTTTAAAAATTGTTAATAACTATAGAAAGGAAAATTGAGAGACCATTTTGACCGAGTTGAGGATACTATCAAAAATTTGGAGATTGTAAATATATAGGAAACCGAGGGTTTTTACCAAGAACTTGCGAGAAAGGCCTCGAAGTTGGAATCCATCTAGCGGCGAAGGTGTGAATGATGGTCGCTACGCTTAATAACGTAATAACTTCACGATTTCAAATTTTTAAGGACGTAAAATAGACTCGAGATCTAGGAACAGTTTCGAATTGCATGTATTCACACGAACATAGGACAATTTACACGGTTTTATCGTGAAGATCGGCTGTCACAGACATGTCAGGCTCGTGAGGCCTCATGAGACTCTTGTTGCACGTTTTCAACTGGAACTTTTTTCGCGGTTGCTTGTTAACTGGCTTGAAGAACTGGTCGACGATGTCCAGAAAGTTTTCGTGCTGTAGAATATTGACGATGTTGACAATTTTCTCGGGAATATCTGGCACTTTCAGCTTCCGCGTCTTCAGTCTGCGAACGTCCTTGCTTTTCCCTTTCCTCGCAGACCCGTCCAGGCTGTGACATTTTCTCAAGCTGTAATTGCAGATTTTCAAAGGAATTTATTCCACAGTGTTCGCGAAGTATTGCAATCTAGATTTAGAGATTTGCCTGAGATCGACTTCTTCGATTTTCCGCCCAGATTGCGATCGTCTCACGATATGTCCCTCGCAGCTGACTTCCGGCTCCAATACTAGCGTCTCTTTCACGTAAGTGTCATTCGGATTCTCGGAGCTATAAGGCATATTTAGAACTTCGATTTTGAAACTGGAAACGTGATCATTATAAGTAAAATATTCTTTCGAATTTACACGAGCTATCGAGACAAAATGAAAGCCAAATCGATAAATCCTGTGTCAAATAAACAAACCCGGTTGCTATGTTGCCAATTTCACGAAAATAACCCGATGAAACGATAATTTAAGGGACCAATCAACGGGAATTTTATTTCTTTCGATATAGCTATTACTCGTTTAAAAAACATTGTCCTAATGGTATTTTCTCAATCACTGAAAGGGGTATATTCTTGTAATTCGGTTGAAAAAAAATCCATTGACTTCAAATTTGGAGGAGAACTTCATAGAATGCACCTTTATCGCATGAACTACGGATTTAAAAATCTGATGTTTTTTTCTATTTTTTTTACCATCTAAAGGACGAAAAGCACGAGGAAAATCGATATTTAAATTTTATAACGCTGCCATTTTGTTAATTATCGAAATTTCGCTGTTTCGGTGGTTCATGCTATAGCCGTATTTATCCTAATTAAGATGCTTTTTGGTTTCTCCGTTTCGGATAACCAGATGGTCTGGAATCACGTCAGCCATTCTAGTCCGTTTTTACAGACACGATTTATCCAAGGCTATATAATTTCCACAATTTTGAACAATTTCGTTAGAAAAAAATTGGAAATATTCTTCAAGTATAAATAAATCCAAGTGCGGAAACTGCGTACCAAAACATATCGTGGTTCCCTTAGAATAAAATCCCAAAGAAGTCGAATTTTATTGGCCGGACTACAAGAACTCCCTCTTGAGTTGTCCCACAAGAATTATTCCGAAATCACAGATAAATTATCCACGGTCGGTAAGTGAGGTATTCCCAAAATTTTTGTAAAACCAAATGCATTGTCGTAGGCGTCGAATTGCCGGGAAATCAACAAGTGTCCCTCCCCCGGAAAAGGAGTTCTGCCGTTGGTTTCGAGATGTCAGTCTGGTTGCCTGCGGCGCAGGCGCGGCCTTCCTCGGGATTGGTCCGAGGACGGGCGGGGGTCCACGAAATGGTCGATATTTTAGCTATAGCGGGCTACAGTGGCGCGAGGCTTTACCGAGGCCAGTCCAGTCCCTTTAAAATCGTCGCGAATCAAACCCCGTTGTGCTACCGTGTGTTTCGTCGTGTGTCGGACCTCCGGGCTCACGTTTCACCGTCGGAGGCATTTCATCGTTGAAGCGAGGTGCAGGAACCGAGTGCAGCGCGTGGTGTGCGTCCCTACTATCCAGCGATCGACCGAGAGAGGATCAACATATTTAGGAGGTACTCGTCGAAAACAACTCGTTGGACGGGAAACGACAGACTCGTCCGTGTGTCCAGCTTCGTAAAATCTCGAGCCATGCGATTTCGAGCCTGAACATTTCTGTCCGACCAGCCAGTCCGTCGATAGACCGCTTATTGATTTCTCTCTATCTCCCTCTGTCTATCTCCCACTCTCGGAGTTTTCCTCTCTCACGCTAGAAACCGTGGCTGACGAGTCGACTTTTCATGTTCTGCGCTTGCTAGAACCTCACTGACAACCTATTCCCCCTAACTCGTTGCTTCTATTCCTATCACCACCGTCGAAGGTTACCTGGCCAGCCAGGATTTCACGGTGCCCCAAGTCCAACAGACTCTGACCACTGTTCTATCCTTCGAACTTAGCAATGTGTACCCAGTTTAATCGTCTCTAGGTACCCTGTCAGTTCTATGTTTCAGTGACCGTCAGTGACGATCCGTTCCGTCTGACCTTCTTCCCTCTCTTTCTTCCTCCCTCTCTCTACCACTCTAAGGGATGACAGACATGTCAGCTGTGATCACGTCGGGGTTAAAAATCAGTATCCGTGCCGCATACCGAGGAATTATTCACGGATAGGGAAAAAACGCTACTACCAGCTAGCGAGTTGGCAACGTTATCGGCCGGGGTATCCCCGATATCGAGGAATCCAGCGTATCGATCCGGTCGCGTTTTCGGGATCCAGATTCGAGCGTCACGGCGTACATATACGGAGGCTCCATCTTCCGTCTACGTTCATTCTGCCAGTTGCTGAAGTCAGAACTATGTAACGGACGGCGTGGGTGGTCAGGGGTTGGGAATCGATCTTCCAAAAATATTTGCTCTGTTGCTAGCCACCACCGTCACGGTCGCCCCATAGCGCTACGTAATAGGAGCTTCCACTGCCACCCGATCGTATTTCCGCCATTTTAACGAATATTTTCCACTTGGTCCGCCAGTTAATCTGACATAGACTTGGAGAAGGGTTTCGCTGCGAGTCGAAAGAAAACCGAGGGTTAGATCGGACGGGCTGGTCTATTGGATTCTGCACCATTGTTTAAAAGCTGTTTGGATGTCATTCTTTGTATATGAGTTGTATATATATCGTTTGTATATGTTTCGTCGTCGTGGATGTACCCTGTCTTTCAGGTTTATTCGTTTATCCTTCGTGTGGTGACCACTATTTTCGTAGCAATAATGAACGTCAAATTAATCCCTTGTCAATAATGGTGACTTGAACACAACTGATAAATAATAGCAATTTCACTGCAAGTTACTGCTATTGACAGGGAGTTGATTTGACATCACCGTGCAGGTATTCTGTCTTTTGGTTAGGTTCATTCGTTTAACCTTCGAGTGCCACTATTTTCTGAGTACAAATGGAGGTTAAGTCCACTCCCTGCCAATAGTGATGACTTGAAGACAAATGACAAGTAATAGCATCTTAATATAAATAAAATATACTTGCATCTGAGGATACGTGAAATTGACATCACAACTATACGGAGTCAATTTAATTTCAAACTGCTATTGACAGGGAGTCAATTTGATGTCATCGTGGATGTACTCTATCTTTTAGGTTTATTCGTTTATCCTACGAGTGGTGACCACTATTTTTGTAGCACTTGCGAACGTCAAATCGACACCCTGTTAATAGTGGCGACTTGAAGACAAATGACAAATAATAGCGTCTTAATACAAGTAGAATGTACATGCATCTGAAATTGACGTCAAGTCACTGTCAACTAAAGGAGTCAATTTGACTTCAAGTTACTATTATTAACAGGGAGTCAATTTGACACCATCGTGAATGTATTCTGTCTTTTGGTTAGGTTCATTCGTTTAACCGAGATAATTTGGCTCACTTGTGAACATCAAATGGACACCCTGTCAATAGTGGTGACTTGAAGACAAATGACAAATAATAGCGTCTTAATACAAGTAGAATGTACGTGCATCTAAGTAAACGTGCAATTGACGTTTCCACTATAACCTGGCTCAGTTTCCACCATAAAATACGTACCAGAGAATCTTCCTAAAATCCACTTCATGATCTTCCCCAATAAATTTTCAAATTATCATTTTGACACTTCGAATGGGTAAATTTTTGTTCACGATTCATCATTCGCTGTATTATGGGTTCGTCAATGTATATTT